TAACCACTACTAGGGTTGTAGAATCATTTACATCTATCACATAGGCGTTTGACTTCTGAACTTTTTGGTTACCTCATGCGATTTCTGACCTTCCCTTCACCCCATTTGTTTTAGTTTCTTCATGCGTCCCGTTTGCTTTAAATCTTTTCGTAGGTGTTCGTGAAGGTGTTGTCATTCACGGGCAGCCGAACGAGTCTTAGTATGCGAGAGGTGGACCAGAAAACTGGTGAAGATCTGAATCCACCGCAGCAGACGACTACTAAAAAAGATGAGTTCGCCGTTGACGGTGGAAGCAGTGGCATGAATGAAGAAGTTGGTGAAACTGCACGGAATCCAGATAGACCTTTTGCACCCGGAAGGTCCACCGCCCTCGCTGCCTCCGGACAAGGCGGCCTAGACGATGATCTGGACTTTGGGCCGAAGAGGTAAGCAACAACTTCCCTCCTTGTTTGAAACCTGAGTTATAGCGACGGAAATTATAAACTCTTATCCTATTCTGTCAGGGTTCAAATACTCCCATACTCAGTTTTCTAAAGAATGCCTTTTTTAAATGTGTTTTTTGAACACGTTCTCTTTACTGCCATGAACTTGCCATATGTCTGGTTGGCCGCCCATCCGACACCGCACCTTGATTGAATCCTTAAATTAGGATTTAACTGCAAGGACGAAAGTACAGAAGTGTGTTGACGTATTTTAGGCAAAAGAGGAACATATGAGAGTGTCTATGGTCAGACTGAGCCCAGACCAATCAGATAATGTCCTTGAATGGTTAGCATATCGAGTGGATTCTAAAAAGGTACCACCACTGATTATTAGAAGTAATTTGTTCGGTTACTTTGCTCCCCGATTTCAGCAGTTTGTGTACCAAAATCTACATTTTGTGACTTAACTATATTTTCTCTTCACAGCCTCGTATTTCGTAATAAGTTTTCGGTTTCGTTACAAGACGCAGTTTCTGCGAAAACGAAATCCGTCTTTAACTTTAGTGAAATCACAGGAAGTAGACTTTCATTTCACTCTAGCCTCATTGCTCGTTTTGTCTAAATGCGCTTTTTGACAGTTGAATGGCTAGGCGTTTTGATATCGTCTAGTTGACTTCACTTGGTTCTTCAAGTCTCTCTAATCGTTTTCTTGCCTTCTGAACTCCAGGAAGATTCAAAGGATCAGTTCACCCGAGCGCTGGGAACTTAAGCAAATGATGAGTGCTGGCGTCCTCGAAAAGACGGAACTTCCAGAATTCGACGAAGAAACCGGTCTCCTCCCACGCGACGATGAAGAGTCTGATGAGGACATGGAAATCGAATTAGTAGAAGAGGAGCCGCCCTTCCTTAAGGTCAGTTTAGTCACCAGACAGCACGACTTAAACAGTAAACCATGTTTTGAAATTAGCTCTAACCAAACTGATGATCTCACATAAGGACTGACCTCGCTTGACTATTTTTAGCCTTCTTTTGCACTTCTTAAGGACATCTAATCGTTAGGCAGACTGTGTTTAGCCTATGTGGAGGTACCCAAAATATTTTCTATAGGCAAATTGGTTGGGTACCTTCACTAGACACTCTTTCTGCCGATAACATCAGTAGTATCTTGCCTTTGTCTTTCTGTCATACTAGCCTTTTGAGGGGCTGGTGCATCGTGGAACACATACACCCTCAATGTTTTCCAGAAATCCTCTGAGTTAATGCATTATATATGCCTGCTACTTTCCTCCATTTTCAGTTGCTTTAAGAGCAAGGCCTTTTTGTTAGTCTTGTTTTTTGCAAGTGATGTACGACAAACACGCAGATTTTAAGTGTGATTTAGGAACACTTTCGCTCTTGCTCATTTTCTTCTATCTTATAGGGTCACGGGCGCCACGCCATGGAGCTGTCACCAGTGAGAATAGTGAAGAACCCCGATGGCTCGCTTCAACAGGCTGCAATGATGCGACAAGCCTTGCAGAAGGAACGCCGTGAAATGAAACAGCAAGAACGACAAACCCAGTTGTCTTCGGAGCGCATGAATGAGCATGAACGTATGGGCAAAGAATGGCAGGATCCTATGAGTGCCGCGAGTAAGTCTAAATTTCCACTGCAACCAGTTCTTGTTTTATCCTCATAACTCATACCACCGCATCCGCTTGAGCCGATCTTACTTAAAATGCCTTTCAGTTTCCAACTTCCCCACGTACATGCGCACGCAAGCTAACCTTACTGCAAAACACACTACTGCTAAATACATAAGTAGATAGTAATATTCAATTAATTGGCTACCAGTACGGGTACATCGCTATCACAAGGTGTGCGGAACGTGCATGGGAGCATACAGTTGGTGATCTTCGAATAATTTTTAACACTAGCTTTCTAGCTGTAGCGACCGAAGACTTTGAGTGTAAGGCACTCCGAGTAATGTCAAGTGCTGGGAATGAATCTTGGCTAAGTCTTAGTTGAAGAGAGTTGTTAAACACATCAGCACTCATCTAGAAGACAATGTTGAATAAAAATTTACTGATTCATAAGTTCATACTAGGAACAATGCGAAATGAATGTATTACTCGAAGCAATATATAAAATGGATGACTTATAGTAAAGGATGAACTGTTTGGATGGAAGATGACACTGAAACGTCTGCTACACGACCGGTGGGGAATGCAGCGGTGTGAGAAGCTTTGAAGAAATGCCATTGCAGGTTCTAACGTCGCGAGAGGAGTGTTGCGAAGAGTTGCGGGAGAAGGGGTTGCGAGTAGAGAAGAAAAGGGCACCGACTGTTTTCACAGAAACGGAGTTACACCATCGCCACCTCCGATCCGCGCCCAGAGAACGTCTAACCTTCTTCTATTCAGTTACCTGGGCCTCGCATATTTTCGACCATTCAGAATGTTACTTCATTGAAACACTCCATTCCATTTCTTAGTGCAGTAAATAACCACTACAATATATTTCACTGTATTTTTAGTGGATAACAAGCCCTTGGCTGCGGGAGTTCGCGGTTCCGACCAGTTTCGCGATGTGCCAGAATGGAAACGAGCTGTGCAAGGCGGCACGCGAACTGGAGCGGTTGGTAAAAAAATAGTTCGCTCAATCCTCGAGCAGCGCCAAAGCCTTCCTATTTATAGGCTAAAGGATGAGCTGCTTAAGGTATGTGCACCTTTATGGACACCGTCATCTCCTTGTAAACGCCATCAATTTATTGGATGTTTTTGTGATATTTCTGGCTGCTGGCTGTACACCTGCAAAGTTGTATTTAAGTACTGGAAATGGCCCATGAAGACATAGCTTCGACATGGCCACTTACGGATTGGGTTTGAGACAGCTCCCTCTTATTGACAAGGTAGACCTATTTTCAGTCAATACCAATGATTTTCTGTGCTTTTGAGGCCAACTACTGTGTAGACACTTGATGTAGTCTGTGAGTTTTCTATTAACCTGAACTATACTATGGAATTCGGTCTGTAGAGGCTGAGATGCAATATCTCATGCGAATCCTGGCTGCAAACCCTCTTAGAAAAGATATTAAAAAAAACCTGATCCGTTTGACGACAAATGAACTTCCCTGATCGGTTATTTACTCGTAAATTCGGTCTTTGAAAATCTCCCCGAATATGTAACCAAGGCTTCCTGGGTGATCTGCGAAGTCCTACCAACGTTAAAGATAATCTGCTCTAGCAGTAGATAATCGTACACCGATCCGTTTCAGGACCTATCCGTTCTGGTTGAAGCCTTTGCG